CCAGCTAGGTTTCTATTTGTCTTTTGCCAACTGATACAAACATAAATCGCTATTTTTATTCTCATTTTTAAACTAATGCAGCTCAGTTTAGAGGGAATCGCCCCAAAACCTCTGACGATAATCGTGTTACTGATAGACAGTGTAACAAACTCACTGTCGAATGGCTCGAGTCGAATCAAATTTTACTGCTTAAACAGGCAGAGCCATGAATCACAGTGAACCTGGAGAGCACCATTTATGTGCTTTTTCACTCACTGTTCATGTTTATTTGACTCCCCGAGGATTAGAGCAAGCAACCAGAAACTAATTACATACATAAGAATCACCTTCAACATTACACATGTAAACATTATCAAACATAATTTGTTTTTTTAACAGCAGATTATTTACTGAAAGTTAATCATCCATCAGTTTACCATTTATTAAGAACAACTGCTGTGAAGTGTTCCTTTTGAATGTGTTTGTTGGTGCTTTTATTTTGAATGTTTGCAGCTTCACTTTGAGTGACACCTGGAACTGAACCTGTAACGTCCATGTTAACTGAAGAGAACGTTGACAGAAAACTGCAGTCTGTATTTACATCGTTTTAATGGAGAATAGATGTTTTAACATCATGTGTGTCTTTAAAGCCTGATGAAATCTTCTCTGATTAAAGCTTTGCTCAGCAAACATTCACGTCTCAGTGTGTCAGTCATTTCAAACCAGCTTTAACCTTCACGGTGTCACTGAGCCTGTCTTTCTGCAGACTGCTCTTACAACAAGTATGATAAAAAAAATTTTTTAGTGTCTTATTGTTCTGTTATATTTCTAATAACCACACGTGTAGACAGATCGTTTTTAAGCATCCAGTACACAACAATGATAGTAAAACCACAGCGTTGCTTCATCGTCCTCCACTTCTCATTTATTTTCTGAACTAAAAATCACCACCTGCAAATTCAGCTTCTTGATCAAACTTAAATGGTGTAAATATTCAAAATATGCAGCATCAGTAAAATCATACAAGAAACACAATTTTTATATTATCCGCCTGTAGTGGAATAATCGCAATAATCATCATTGCTACATGTAAGTACACATGACACAGCATGAAAACAGATCAGATGTAGAGTCACTGTGGTAACGACACAAGAAAAAAAAGAAACCTGAAACCCTGAAATACAGCTGCCTTTAAGAGCAGACATTTCAACACTTGCTCCTTGTTCTTAGACATTTTTAGGTTTCATATCTTGAAACATTAAAATCTGTCACGTGTAAACTCAGGCACGACTTCTCTTATAATCTCCAATAAACATAAAGTTGGTGGCTTTAAAGAAACCAAAGGAAGGATTCTTAAATGTATGAGAGGAGATTTCCAGACAAAAATACAAAATAAAAACAGACTGATGAAGATGTTGTGACCAAGATGTTTTTAGAGCCACAAAAATGTCGTTAAATGAACAATAAAAAAGACACACACTAGTAGCAGCTTTTTTCTAAATAAGATCATGAATACCAGAATTAAATGTAATTATAACGTCATGTTAAACAAAGAGGGACGTGTGGTCACGTGAACGAGCAAAGATGGCTGTCTTCCTGTGAGGAGACACTGCACCAGTGTAACGCACACTGTACAGACAATAATGACAAAATTAATATAATTATCAGATGACTCACTCGTGTTTGAAATCAATTAATGCAGCTTTAAATGTTCCATAACAGCAGAAAAGAAAACGACTTAGAAAGGTTGGTGGTGATGCAGCACGTCTGTTTACATGCAGCCTGATGAAAGTCATCAAAGAGAAGGAGTAAAATGATCCGGTCATCAAACAAAGGTTGTTTTCACCAAATAATTTATTAATCCATCATTTCGTTACATGTTGGAGGACAATACTGATGTACTGTAGTTTAATACATTATTAGTACCACTCAGGATTTACACGTCATTTTCTGTTATCACTGTTCAACAATCAGCTGGTCAGTCAGAGGACACCAAGGAAGTTTCATGTATGAAAATAACAAAAATACTAAAGTCGGGTTTTCAGCAGCAACTCTGAGATTCTTCCATCGTTTCTTTTCTCTCAGTAAAAATATTTTGAGCTCCTTTTTTTCCTGTGATGGAGACTGATGGTTTTTAGTTTCAGTACAGTTTAACGTGAAAGCTGCAGGAAACAGAATAATAACATCTACACTCATCATTTCAACCCAGGCAGTAAAGGCATCGAGATCTGCTCAGACCCGTCACACACCGGAGGGTCGAAGCTGACAAATACTGTGAACCATCTTTGGTCTGGAACCTGTTTTGTTTTCAGAGGAAACAAATCTGCATTTAAAGATGTTCAGGTGAGAAAAGAAGCTCGAATTATCAGAGCGGTCTGAGCAGCTTTCAGGAACAAACACGTCCATGCAGAAAACATGTTCTTCAGGTTTTATCTTCTTCTTTGTCACATTATGAATTATTTTCAAAGCAGCTTTACCTTTTGTTAAAACACATCTCTTATTTAACACATACTTTATCAGATACACACCCATATTTGACCTTCCTGTATCAGTTTACACCACATGGAAACATTAACTCTGACGTCCTGAACATAATCCAACATCAACGACTCCTGAAGTAAAAATTACCGTCAGTACAAACAGGTTTAAACAGGTTTAGTTTCTGTGAACATTAAACTGGATGAATAAACAAACACATGAACTACTTGTTTTGGTCACATGACCATCGTGTGTAAAGTGTTTAAATGCATTAATCTCCACATTTAAGCATGAAATCATCATATTTAGACGTCTCTCACACAGTCGCTGAGTTTTCTCTGCAGCCGTTCAGCAGTTGACAAAAACAAACAGGATCAAACCCAAACAACTAAATCTGAGTCATACAGGAAACTCTGGAGGTCAAAGGTCACTGTACAAAAGCCAACAGTCTGCACCGAGTCTGAGCTCCAAACCTGCGTATAAAACATCTAAGCTGAGCCTTCACAGAAGGTAAAACATTCACTCTGAATCTCTTTGAGCTGGAAAACATCTCTAAAGGCTAAATATTCATGAGGTCACCAATAACTGCTCCGTGCTGCACGTCTGATTTTCATAAACACACACAACTATCACACTGCTGCAGATGTGTGTGACAGTAACACCTGTATGACCAGAGGGCGGCACAGCTCTTTGAAAGGAAAGTCACTCAGAAGAGACTGACGTATTGATACACATAATAACACACCTCCCGTCATGGAAAACGTTTCTCTTTAAATGCACTCATTTTGTATTTATCACTGTAATTTTCTCTTTTATCTTCACTCTAGCACAGACCTGAAAATCTTTCAAAATAAACTAAACAATCAACAGAATGTGAATAAAAAGCTCCAAAACATCTGGGTCTAAAACATCTGCATACTCATCCTGCAGACTGGGCTGTTCTTCA